ATACTGAATACGTTTTGGAATAAAATTATTGGCATTAATAAGGAGGGTAAAATAAGATTTCACTAGTTTATTTTTTTTTTACTATAAAACAACAATTTAGCTGAATAATTAGCATAAACGTTTTAAAAAAATCAATGTAAATTGTTCGTTGTCGTATCAAAAGAATATATTACTTATAAATTATGTATGAACAACATACTGACTAAAAAATGTAGATAAGGATATCATTGTCAAAAAGTGTAACAAGTTTGTTATTTGATAACAGAATTATGTTTAAATTATATTTTTTAAGTATTCGAGTTGGTATTATCTAGTAGAGTGTTTAGACCATAAATTATGTATTAGTAATATTGATCTAGTTTGTTTTATCAATGAAATTTAGTAAATAAAAAGGATATTTTATTTTAAAGGAATAAAATATGTCATATATTGCGACATGAAAAGTGTTGTGATTCCATTTTTAATGTTTTAAAAAAAGTTATCAAGAACTTCAAATACAGAAACGCCTCCGGTTTTTTTTTTAATATTAAAGAATATAATAATATAGTGGCAACATCACTCATTTCTTTTCGTTCGTTTGTATATTTCATAGGTTTCAAATTTATTGACGGGGTAGTGGATACTCAAAATGCATATAACGTAAAACCTTGTTTTTTTCTTCACGAATATCATATAATGGTACTCATGTACTTTACTGTAGAGTTTCCATTTAAAAAATGCCTTCATGAATAAAATATAAATTATACATCTATACTTTCAGTAGCCTGTGACACAGCAGATGGAAAGATACGCAAAAAACGCGTTGCACAATACCTCACATAAATGCGGGACCTATCATAGCACTTACAATATATTTAAAAAAATTATTTTTCACCTTTTTTTAACTCAATTATACAATTTTACGGAGTCTTAACTGACTCAATTGAATTCAAAAACGTAGATTAAATGTATTGAAGATGTTATGTTTAAAGGTTTTTATAAAGGCTAATCTAGGCTGACATAGCTTAGCTATCTTGATTATGGGCAGAGTTAGGGCTTATCTAAATAAATCACCTAATTATTTAACTTAAATAAAAAGTTACAAAATATAGCACTGATGATGGTAACATTGTTTCCGAAATTCCTTTTCACAATTTCATAGTACGTTTTAAAATATAAAATTCTTAATTTTATATTTTTAACTTTATATTACTATAACTTTTTGAAAAATGTATGGATCAGTACAATTTTTTTTGAAAATACTTTATATACACACATTACATCCGATATATATATATTTTTTAAATCGGACCATTTCCTTTCATACAAGGGGGTTCAGAACTTTAAACATGTGTATAGAAATTAGTACTTTTTCAACTTAATTGTTACAATATGTTCCTGAAAATACTGACACTTATATAAATATATATATCATAAATCAAAGCTTATGTAATATACTTTAATATAAAAAAAAAATGTTGATCTTTACGTTGTCTTCTTGGTGAAAATAGCTACCATATTCAAAAATATGCTATTTTTATGTTAAAATTCTAGGTTTTGTATTTTGTTTTTTATAAAAATACCTTACTCTGATTTTCTTAATATTATATAAATCTGATTGACATATCATAAAAAGTTAAACTATTTTAAGTTTTTTGCCTCTTTTAAGTCGAGAAAAATAACTTTAAATTTGAACTAGCTAAAATTTTCATTTTTATTTTCCGAACAAATGCGACGTAGGTTGTCGAGTCCGTACACTTGAGTCTTTCACGCTTTAGGTATTAAGTCCAAACTCTAAATTGGATTGAATTTTTTCCTTAATTCTTTTTGAGTTAGAAAACACTTTTCAACTAATTTGATTTTTATCTAATTTAAATTTAATAACTTCAATGAAAATTAAGGACCCCATTACTATAGTCTCCCCTCGTGAGAAGAAATTCTTTATTCATATTAAAATTATTTTACTGTGTGATTTTTTTTATGGCCATCATTCATTTTCTCAGCTCTCATTCGACCAATATTTTTATCGATACATCAAATGATCACAACTAGTATCTAGCTAAATATATAACCCTTTAAAATTGAAAAAAAAAATCATCTTTATCATATAAAATGTTGCTAAACCAACTTTCTCCATACGATAATTATAATCATTAATTCTATTGCTATAAAAGTATATATTGTCGAATTAGACTTGATATGACAAGTTTCAACTACAAATTTTAATAACTTTTTAATTTTGTAATTATTTGTATTTATGTGGGTTAATACTAGTCTATTATATTGCAATTTTTTTGGTAACATGCTGCTATATAAATCTAAAATTTATTTCTAAAAAAAAATTATTTTTAGTTTCACCTGAATTTAACAATGGGATTTTACAATTATAAACAAATTTTATAATACGCTTATTTGATTAGATTTTTTTAACAACTTACAGATTTGTTTTTTTAGTTGAAAAAAAATCATTAAAATTAATTAAGTTTTGAATATTTCAATTTTAGAATCTTTTTAAATATCAAAAGTTACTTAGAAATGATTACTATGATATGTATTTTATTATCTATTAGGATAAAAATAAAAAAATAGTAATTTTAAAATTCCTTGATTGCATTCTCATCTTAAGAATACATTTTTTTTAATTCTTATAAAATTATCTAATGATGTCAATTTTAAACTTGCAATTTGATTTAAAAGTTATGGTAACAAGTGTAACTTTCTTTAATATAAACTTTTAAGGACCAAGAAAGAGGTTAACAATGACATTTTTCAATGATTACTTTTAACATATTAAAAATCAAAATTAGTAATATTTTAAATCAATTTTTTTTTTTCTTTTAATAATTTTTTTTATGTGTAAATATTTATTTTTTATGAATTAGTAGTAATGTCAAAAGTAGTATATTTTTGATCTGATGAACATTTCTTGTAGAACAGTGTATTTATTCATAAGTAACAAATTTTTTTTTTTTTGAAATGTATTGCATCAAGCCTTTAAAATTGTTATCATGTTAAAAAAAGAAATATACAACTACTTTATTATTTTTGTAATTTTTCCATTAAAATTACAATATTAAATTATTGAATATCAATTTCAAACTAAATTTAATAACTATAATTAGTATTTATTCTATATATTATATTTTTAAATCAATGAATTACTAATCCTCAGAATTAAACATTAACTATAGATTAGTATCGAAGCGTTTCTTATGATAGTAATTTTTATCACAGTCAGATATCATCTATACTTGTCCCAACTATGTCGCGACCCCACTGTGCTACAATGTTTTTGATTTAGTTTCATGCCAAAATTAAAATAAAATATTTACTACATTATCTAACGTGATTAAAAGTGTTACTTACGCGTTGAAATTATAATATTGTCACTCGAATAAATTTCGAAAAAAAATCGACAGGCCTTATTAGTTTATCGCACCGAATTTCTTATGAATAATAAACCTTTTACTGGGACGTGCATTGAATATGATTCAACATAATATTAAGTGTATACATGATCTCAGCATAGTTAACGGTGCTGTGCGTACTCGGGCAAACACATTCTACTTGTCATCTCTTCGAATCGCCTTTCTTTTCCAGTTTTCTGTTTTAGATTCTTAGAAGACACATTTCAAGTAGTGCACTGACCTAGGAACATCAACATGTAGTTATAATTACATAATACACTTAAAGTAATTCACTACTGTTAATGTATTTTTTATTTATTAAGTGTTAATAGTAATATTTAAATTTATAAAACTAATTATTTCATGCAATAAATTCATTGTTTTTTATTCTTTACATACTGACTTACAAACATTGAACTTGTGTATATCTTCTTTTTACTTCACCTGTCCTATATTGTGGTTATTATGTTTGTGTGTACATTTATATCTATAAATATACTCTTCCAATCTATAATAAAGTTTCATGCAATCATTTTTGCTTATTCGACGCATTGTCCCTTTATTTGTGGACTGTGTATTATCATAATGATCAAACACACGAAATGTTACCATCAGCAACGATAGCGGCTTTATTTCAAAGTAAATGTATTGTTTTTTCATTTTTGACGTTAAACTATTCAAGTGCTATATAAAAAGTATTATCTTTTTAATTTACAAAATGGACTTGTTTTTAGTATTTAGATTTTCAGTAGGTTAAGTAATGCTCTTCGATTAATTTATTTAAAAATTAGTTAGAAAAAAGACCGATGGCTTGTCTTCAAAACTGTTTTTTGAAATATCATGTTTAAAATAATACCGCTAATAACAATAGTTTAAGTAATATGAAAATATTACTTTGTTAGTTTTTAAAAATCATTTAAATATAATAACTGCAATGAAAACTGTCAACATTTCCAAATTCGAAGACCTTTCAGTTAATTGGATAATAATAAAAAATTTAACTCGATCATTATATGCTGAAAAATAAATCAATGTTTTATAGCTTACGTAACAGTAGACTTGTCGAAAATAATCTCTTTTGTCCAAATCAAATAGATTATTTAATTTTCAAAACGTCTTCAGTACGTCGTTGGGCGATACTTTGATTAAAAGTGTCAAAATATTAAGATAATTTAGTGTGTGCGAGTAACAGTCAACATAGACGAAGAGCCGTCCAGTGGATATCTATTCATTGAAGGATACTATATCAGGTACGATAATAATTATTGTACCTGATTATATTAGTAAATCATTGCTCAGCGCGAGCATTAATAATTTTAAGGGCCAATCAGTTTTCAGGCATACCGTGCCCGTGTCTTTATAGTCGACACGGAAAAGTCTCATCATAATCATGGACGTCGCCGTGGAACCCGATTTTTACATAACCGAAAACAATGGAAACGGCGTATGCATCGGCGGTCGAAGGCGGTGAGGTGTTGTTGAATGACGAAGCGGCGGTGGGTTCGTATTACGCCCGCCCGCTCCGGCTTCCTGTTCCGGTGATTTCGGCGTGGTTCGGGTACGGTCGGCCGTCGCAGCACACGAGCGCCGCCGTCGTGCCGCCACTTGGCGCTCAACGGCGACGACTACTACGGCTGGGTTAGCGGAGACGATTAGACGCAATTCCGACACGGCGGCAGTCGTACGTTTGTTCACGCGCCCACCGCGATATTTTTACCTTTACACTGAACACCACCACCATCACAACCATTCACACACGTTTTTATTAATAACATCACACTCACACACACAAGTACCAACGCCGTTCCTTCGGGTTGTTTAGTTTTATTATTGTTTGTACGTTTTATCCGTCGTCCGTTACCCTCCTTTATCGTGAGTGTGACCTCCCCAGAAATCGACCCCGAGTTTTCCCTGCCCCAGTGGTACCCCCCCATGTTGGCGCAAGATTTGGTCGCCGTCATCGTCGAGCAGCATTACACCCACCCGGTTGAATCGTGGAGGCCGTCGCCGTTGGCGGGTTGAAGAGGGCCCGTTGTGGTGCGTACAACGGACCTGAGGCCGCCGGCACCCTCAAGAAACACAGACTGGACGCCGCCACGGCAGCCGCAGTAGCAGCCGCAGCTATGAATATGGCGCCCACAGGCACACCGCCGGCACAACAGCAAACGGCGCAAAGCGCCGTCGACGGGTCTCAAGTCACGGGCTTATGTAACAACATCGACCCCTTGGTATCCGGCGAAGAAGAGGTAAATATTGACTCGTCTATTGTCACTTGTATATTATATCGATAGCGGCGACAGCCGTGGGAACCAAAAAAAATTAAAATCCGACTAAATTCTCTCAGTTTGTGTTTATGTATGTACAAATACTCGCGTACAATGATATGCAATATGTATAACGTTTAGGTAATCCTCAGTATTGTCGTACTGTCATGTGTCCCGCGTACATAGTGCACGGTGTAGTATACATATAGATATTACATTTTGTATACATGCGACATACGACGTAAAGCTTGCGTGTAAATGCGCGTACCGCGTTCCACACACAAGTACAAATATGTGCTAAGGCTTGGCTCGTATGATGGTAATAATTGGTCTGGCCGAACGAGGACACGTCTGCAGTATATTCGAAATGTACATGTATTATGCATGCACACCCTCACATCGTTACATCTCTTTCACTAGATATTCTCAGTATTTTTTTATCTCTTATCGGGCACATGATTATTTTTCGTTTAAAAATCAATGGCGAGTATGCCGTCAATCAGGCAACAACATTTTAACATATTTATCGGTCGTTCACGCGTCTTAGTATTTGGAAAGTTTAGAAAAGTGTCGCGATAGACCAAAAAAAATTATCTGTCGAAAGATAATGTAATTTCGTTGAGATAAGCGGTTCATTGCAAATGTTTTTGGAGATCTCAGTGCTACAGCAACTTTTTGTCAGTTTTCTATTGATTTGTATGTGACAAGGATTTCCACTGTTATTTTGGAGGCCGGCTTTTCGTTTGTACCCGTATATTTTAGGTTAGATAATAGTCGATAGGCGTGGGTGTCATCTAATAGTAGAGTAAACGACGGCGACGTTACTACCGTGTGCGGCGTGTTTTCGATATACCTCACACACATACGGCCGTCCCACCTTGACTGTTCGGCGCTAATTACCGGTCGTTCACGGTCCGCCAGATACGCTATTCAAATAGTACACACATACACGGCGTGTTCTGTCAGTGGTTGCCAAAATCGTCGCGAGTCGGGTATCAATGTAGGTTCGTACAGTTTTCCGTCAAAATGGCACGCGGTTTGTGATGCGGCCCGTAAAAACGTCAACGGTTTTACCAGTTGGCAACTGAGATACGGGAGAAAAAGTTTTACAAAGGCCAGCAACATGTGCTCACCTGAGGGGCAGCTGCTACCACTGTAGTATAATACACGGCGATCTCGGTGAACAGCTGATCACCCTCGGGGTAACGTAGGCCGTGTATGACGGAATTTCACTTTGCCGGTGTGATGCTAACGAGAAACTCCCTCCAAAAACTATGTAGACTATAAAAACAAACGCGATCTCACCCTGCCGAAATAATATTTGCGTTTCCGGTTTTCTCCTTGATCGCCTCGTACACAAGAACGTTTTTAATCAGACACAGGAGATTTTCGTCGAATATTCGTTAACGTTGAGATTTTTTCGATTTTTGTTTGGAGTATATTTTTAATGGCCAAGTGGTGACCACACACGATTACTGTTTGTATTCTTGAAATCATTATTGTCGCAAACGCGAGTTTACCAAGTCATATGGCCAGTTTAAAAAACACAAAACTGGTTTTTGGGTATTATAACTCTTGCCAAACGCCTTTGATCGTCTTTTTTATTCCAGGGACCAAGGCTGTCTCTCTGTCGTAACCCATAAAAATCACCCTTTGTAGATCAATAAGGGGGTCGATTGTATTATGCAATTTCTAGTCACAGGCTAGAGACGCTGACCATCCGTGAGAAGAAAATACGCTGCGGTGTTCATTTCGAGTGTAAAACTTGTAGTTAAAAAACTAGTAGACGTAAAAATATCAAATTATGTCGAACAACGTTTATGATGTCAAATAAAAAACACGATATCAAAAACGTCGTTGCCGGTGTAGAATGAACCGGTGATTGTCGAACAGCTGCCGTCAAGATCTTTTATTGGTTTCGTGCAGCACACGTTATATACTCTCCTAAGTAGTATTTGTACATAATTCATGTGCGCTGGGGTACTGCTCCGGTTTTGAAAATATAAAAAAAGAACTCGGGTTCTTTCGTCTTTTTAGATATTTTGAAATCTTGTCACTAGTACGGTTGCCGTGCAGCAGCTGTGGGAAAATGCAGTGGAAGGTGTTTATTGTATATATTAAGGAGAATCCCGATCCATCTATGACACTACGCGCGCAGGCACATACCTGTATTTTGATATTTGCTTTCGCTGGCAAAACTAACACGGTCGTGTTAGTCTTGCCAGCGAAGAAACAGATACACCTCGGGTATCTATTATAAACTCATGACGTATCCATACATTGCCAAACAACGACAAGTAAATAATTGCACCCTCGACGGAACAGCAAAAACTTTTCGCTTATAGACGTTTCAACAACTTATTTACCCCCGAGCAGCTTATTTAACTCGCAAAAAAACGGACAGCTCATTTTCTCTGGGCACCCGCCACCGTTGCTCCCGTCCACTTGAGACAACACTCGTGACTACACATTGAAGTCACCCTTCCTTTAAATAATAGTATGTTTGTACTTCTGTCCAAGTTAGCCGTCTTGTTCATAGTTTTTTTTTATGAATAGTCGTCTAAAGAGCGTGCCCTTTGACAAAATAGAAAATCATTATGTGGTTTCTGCACATGTTTTTTTTTTTAAATCGTAGACTGCAATAGAATTTAAAAACAACAGTTAACTATGCAATTTATAATATCATGGGTTTTTATGGTTGTGCGGACCTGTTCATTCATTTATTCATTGGTCCGTTGATCGTTATGTTTTGTAGCCGGTGCGTTGAAAAATGATAAGATTATAACAATATGGAATCGCTGCATTGCTCAACACTTATAATAGAAAATCTTAATTTAATTTTTTTGACAACCGTTTAATACATTATTATTGTTGTTGTGTTAACGGTCGCGAAGCCGTATAGCTGCTGCTTTTATGATAATATATATACACGGGATAAATGGTGACATGGCGTATTGTTGCTGACAACAGCCAAGGACGTTCCGATCGTTTTTGTATTATTTTTGTAATATTTGTTAATAATTATAATAAAGCGGTTGACGAAAATAATGTAAATAACGAGCAACCGCTTAGCGCATGTACTACGAGAAAACATCTGAGAGCCTGTTTTCTAATTCCAAGTACAAAAATCGAACGAAACAGCAAACAAGACGTTAAACTTTAAATGAAATCCATCGTCAGTGAACAAAACTAATACTTTTTATTCAATCTGCTACTTAGTTCGATGATTTTGTTTTGCATTTTTTATCACACAGATTTATTACTATTTCGTATTCGGCAAAACGGGTAATTTTGTCACCTCTTAGACACAAGGGAAAGGCTTGAATTTTCATCATCATTTTCACGGTGTTAACCATATGGTGACCGACGACGGCTGGTGCTGGGGAGTATCGTGTCGCTTGCCGTATGTCATTTCCTCCTTTCCATTGCCTTCGCCGTTGCCGTTTTTCCGCCAAAACATTTTCGACTGTAAAACGACAGTCTCAACAAAAACTGCTAACTGCTCATTATCGTTAACTATTGTCGGCGAACCGAGAAAAAACAACCTTGTCTACGATTAATGGAATAATTAAAGTGCGAGCAAACGGGTCAGGCTCTAAAAACCAGAACGGACTTCTGCGAAAACTTCATTGCGATTGGATCTACCTACCAACTAACCAACGACCGTAGTTCCGGGCGATGTACAACACATTTTAGTTTTTTCCTTGTATACATTTCGAAGAGTATCCTTAACAATAATAGTTATTATTACAGCCGGAAGTAAAACACGCGACAATGTGACTAAATCACTTTCATTTAAATAGGAAAGTCCACAGATCCGAAAGGCGAAACAATAGAGCCACATTTCGAAAGAAGAACTCCTCTAATGATATTTATCAATAATGTATACTTTGGAGAAAATTTATAACAATTTCCGATGTACACTATATTTATTGAGTGGATAGGCTCATTAAAAAAAAACCTTCCGAATATTTTCTAAGACGCTTGATTACTAACATTTCTATGGTAGAAATTTTCATTTTTAAGTCATCACTATGTTGCTCTAAAATATGTTTTGAAATCGTATTTCTTGCAAGAAAGTGTTTTTAATTGTGAAAATAATTTTTTAAGAAATAATGATATGGAAATATTAAAAAAATTATTTAGTAATCTATACGTTACTAAAAACGCAACAATTATGACAGTTATACCGTCACAATAATTGTGTTTGGTTTTTATCATAATTTTAAAGTGACCTATTTTAAAAATAATTCTTAACTATAATTGCGTTCAATTAGTTTTATAATTCACACGATCTTTTCGAATAAGGCCACTTTCATAGAACGTCGCCGTTGAGAAGTGTGTGTGTGTGTTTATTTTTTTTAAGTTTGCCCACTATTCTAATCTAACGTGTGAACCCACGTGGAACAATGAAGATAAAGCATTATAATATTTTTATGGAAAGCCTGTACTGGTATACAGTAATAGAATATTATATTATTTTACCATTAGCAAAATTTACGAGCGTGAATGAACATGCATTATAAAATTTCATACTATTCAGAAACCGACGCGGCTAAAACTCAAGTTGAATGCAATCTGAAATTTCATTTAAAGTTTTTACGATGGATACTAAATGAACAACCAGCGGTTTATCGGTAGTAATAACATAGGGCTTGAAACATTTAGTCAGAATTACCTTGAAATTACATTTGTGTAATGATTATTTACTTGGATAAAATGGTACGAATTGATACGAACGTTGTATTTATTTGGAGATTGTAAAAACTGCGCGTTTTCAATAAATAATAATAACAATATTATTATTTTGTAACACTCCAATATTGTTGATTATGTATAAACAATACGTTATTAAAGCGATGCCACTGATTAGTATACACCTCCGTAATTCGTTGTCGTGTGGGTGTTATTATTTGGCGTTTGGGTGTGCGCAGTTAGCCAGGAAAGTCGGCTAGTCCTAAAGTTCTCGGTCATCTGTACTC